CATGCGAGTCAAGATGAATGCAGCTTACTCCACTCCTGTGCTGATGACTAGCGGTGTTCCGCAAGGGTCAGTACTTGGTCCAGAACTGTTCAAGATATTCATCATTGACCTCCCATCAGAGCCTCAGATGGATTGCCTGATTTACGCCGATGACATGAAGCTGTGTATGGAGGTATGCTGTCTTGAGGATGCTGACAGATTGCAGGCATCATTGGACATTCTACACGAATGGTCAGTCAATTGGCAGTTGCCCATAAATTGTGAAAAATGCTCAGTTCTCCCCATAGTCGCTTTTTAACCGTTCGGGATATACCATATTGGTGGGGTGTTACTCAGAACCCCCATTCTTGAAAAAAATCTCCGTGTGCTTGTCTCACATGATTTATGGACCGCAGAAGACACACTACGGAAGGTTGCCGCTGCCAATAGGATGTCCCACGCCATACGGAGAGCTTTCTCGCTACTGACTCCGGATATCTTCAGAATTCTGTTGGCTTCTCATGTGCGCCCGATCCTTGAATACGGACTACCCGCCATCTGTCCTCTTGCCAGGTTCGAGTGTAACATGGTTGAGAAGGTACCGTCCCCCCGGCAACATCACTATGTATAGATCTCTCTCTTTTCCTCCTCCTCCGTTGTTGTTGTTGAGAGAGATCTATACATAGTGATGTTGCCGCTGTACCTTCTCAATCATGTTACACTCGAACCTGGTAAGAGGACAGATTGGCGGGGTAGTCCGTATTCAAGGATCGGGCGCACATGAGAAGTAAACAGGATTCTGAAAATTTCCGGAGTCAGTCTCGAAAAGGCTCTCCGTATGGCATGGGACATCCTGGTGGCAGAGGCAACCCTCCGTAGTGTGTCTTCTGAGGTCCGTAAATCATGTGAGACAAGCACACGAGATCTTTTTTCAGAATGGTGGTTCTGAGTAACACCCCACCAATATGGTATATCCCGAACGGTTCGATGGGCGCCTATGAGGGAGAACTGAGCATTTTTCACAATTTATGGGCAATTGCCAGTTGACTGACCAGTCGTGTAGATTGTCCAATGATGCCTGCAATCTGTCAGCATCCTCAAGACAGGTTACCTCCATCCACAGCTTCATATCATCGGCGTAAACCAGGCAATCCATCTGAAGCTCCGATGGGAGATCATTGATGAATATCTTGAACAGTTCTGGACAAGTTACTGACCCTTGCGGAAACACGCTAGTCATAGCCACAGGAGTGAGTAGGCTTCATTCACCCCTTGACTCGCATTTGTACGGCAATTCAAAAAATCAGCGATCCAGGAAAGGGAACATTCCCAGAGGGGAAACCATCCAAAAAAAAATGGAAAAGAAAAAAAAAAAAAAAGAAAGAAAAAGAGAGAGGGAGAAGAGAGGAAAAGGGAAAACAAAAGGAGAGAAAAGAAGAAGAGGATAGAAAAAAAAGAAGGAGGGAAGAAAAAAAGAAGAGAAGAGAGTAAAGAAGAATAGATAAAAAGAAAGAAAAAAAAGAAAAAATGGCGAAAAAAAAAAAAATAAAATAAAGAAAAAATGAAAAACAAAAAAAAAAAAAAAAAAGAAAAAAAAGAAAAGAAATAATTAAAAAGAGAAATAAAAAGACTAATAACGCATCAAAAAGGCAGGGATGTTGGAGAATGAAACAAAACTCGAGGAGAATACACATAACGGACAGTAATGCTATATCGAAAGAAGAGGTAACAAGAAGATGAATACAAGAGAACGGCAAGCTAATACACCCCCCCAACAAAATAACATTACAACATACCATATCAACCCAAACAGTGACCACCCCCACCTCAACACGGATGCCCCCCCCCCCCACCAATCTAAGCATCTCCCCCGAGAACTCCCCCTCATCTGCCCATCCAGTCTCATCTTGCCGCGAACAATTAGGTCCCTCCCTCCACGCAGGTCCGCTCGTGTCGCCACTATGCGCTCCACTCGAGAGGCGCCCCCGTCGCTGACACGCATCCGCCACCCAGCAAGGAGCTGGCGCCTGCCCCTTAAACCTTCCAGTCTTGTCCCAATTTGGAGTCCCCGCACCCGCCATCGCAATTAGCGGACCCAAACCACCTCCTTTGGACCTCAGCTCTTACACCTGCGCTGACCTCATCCGACCTCCCCACCGCTCCCCGACATCCGCCCGCCGGCAGCGGACTCCCGTGTAGCTCCAGGGGGTAACCCGTCCTGTCAGCTCGCGGTGGGACGTGATCGCCTGCAGAGCTCTCGACCCCCCACGATCTCCCCCGTCCGCGTATCCAACAACCCTTCCCCACTATCCCTATCACTCCCCCATTTCGCCGGCACACTCGCAATATGCGAAAACGCGCTAGTTGGCCCCCCGTCTTCCTCGCCCTCCTGCCACCTCCCCCGCCCATCCGTAGCCGCCCTCCCGCCTGCTAGTAGCCTCTGCCTTCCGCCTCTCCCCCCGACGCTCCCTCCCGACCCCTCAGCGTCTCGTCGGCCGCCCGCACCCCCTCGTCCAGCCAGTCTTCTCGGGCCCCCCGTTTACTTGCCCATTCGCTCCCTCTCTGTCTCTTCTCCTCACCTCACCCTCGTTCGCCCCCTCTTTCCACCCTCTCCCCTCTTCCCCTCTCTGCTACGCCGCTGCCCCCCTCCGGTGCTCCTCAGCCCCGGCCGTCCCCCCTCTCAAGTCGCTTCTAGCTAGCTAATCGACGAACGCTACCTCTGCTGCGCCCCTACCCGCATCCCTACGATCCACCGATCGGGAGAGATTCGCGTAACACGCGTGACGACTCTATGGGCACGCCGGACCTACGCCGGCATGCGCAGCGTCGGCGAGCGACACGGACGAAGCGAATACGAGGCGGTGTAAGAGGTAGACGGCAACTCCACAGATGACCAGCACGGTCCTGCCTATTCCGGCGCCAGCAGTCCGTCTCCACCGAACACGACGCTCTATCATAGGACAATAACGGGCAGCGCCTCGGATGGTCCTTCACCGCTACGCGCTACTCACTACGTCTGCCGACACTCCACAGAGCGCGGAATAACGAAACCGGACCCATCGCACAAAACCGCCCTGAGCCGCTCGCACGAGGGTACAAGCGCGCTGCTATGCACTTCCTCTCTCCGCGCCTATGCTCCCTCTCCCGCCTCTCCTTAGACGGGGAAACAACCCTCCCCCCCTCCCCCCCCCCTCCCCCCCCCCCCCCCCCCCCCCCCCCCCCCCCCCCCCCCCCCCCCCCCCCCCCCTCCCCCCCCCCCTCCCCCCCCCCCCCCCCCCCCCCCCCCCCCCCCCCCCCCCCCCCCCCCCCCCCCCCCCCCCCCCCCCCCCCCCCCCCCCCCCCTCCCCCCCCCCCCCCCCCCCCCCCCCCCCCCCCCCCCCCCCCCCCCCCCCCCCCCCCCCCCCCCCCCCCCCCCCCCCCCCCCCCCCCCCCCCCCCCCCCCCCCCCCCCCCCCCCCCCCCCCCCCCCCCCCCCCCCCCCTCCCCCCCCCCCCCCCCCCCCCCCCCCCCCCCCCCCCCCCCCCCCCCCCCCCCCCCCCCCCCCCCCCCCCCTCCCCCCCCCCCCCCCCCCCCCCCCCCCCCCCCCCCCCCCCCCCCCCCCCCCCCCCCCCCCCTCCCCCCCCCCCCCCCTCCCCCCCCCCCCCCCCCCCCCCCCCCCCTCCCCCCCCCCCCCCCCCCCCCCCCCCCCCCCCCCTCCCCCCCCCCCCCCTCCCCCCCCTCCCCCCCCCCCCCTCCCCCCCCCCCCCCCCCCCCCCTCCCCCCTCCCCCCCCCCCCCCCCCCCCCCTCCCCCCCCCCCCCCCCCCCCCCCCCCCCCCCCCCCCCCTCCCCCCCCCCCCCCCCCCCTCCCCCCCCCCCCCCCCCCCTCCCCCCCCCCCCCCCCCCCTCCCCCCCCCCCCCCCCCCCCCCCCCCCCCCCCCCCCCCCCCCCCCCCCCCCCCCCCCCCCCTCCCCCCCCTCCCCCCCCCCCCCCCTCCCCCCCCCCCCCCCTCCCCCCCCCCCCCCCCCCCCCCCCCCCCCCCCCCCCCCCCCCCCCCCCCCCCCCCCTCCCCCCCCCCCCCCCCCCCCCCCCCCCCCCTCCCCCCCCCCCCCCCCCCCCCCCCCCCCCCCCCCCCCCCCCCCCCCTCCCCCCCCCCCCCCCCCCCCCCCCCCCCCCCTCCCCCCCCCCCCCCCCCCCCTCCCCCCCCCCCCCCCCCCCCCCCCCCCCCCCCCCCTCCCCCCCCCCCCCCCCCCCCCCCCTCCCCCCCCCCCCCCCCCCCCCCCTCCCCCCCCCCCCCTCCCCCCCCCCCCCCCCCCCTCCCCCCCCCCCCCCCCCCCCCCCCCCCCCCCCCCCCCCCCCCCCCCCCCCCCCCCCCTCCCCCCCCCCCCCCCCCCTCCCCCCCCCCCCCCCCCCCCCCCCCCCCCCCCCCCCCCCCCCCCCCCCCCCCTCCCCCCCCCCCCCCCCCCCTCCCCCCCCCCCCCCCCCCCCCCCCCCTCCCCCCCCCCCCCCCTCCCCCCCCCCCCCCCCCCCCCCCCCCCCCCTCCCCCCCCCCCCCCCCCCCCCCCCCCCCCCCCCCCCCCCCCCCCCCCCCCCCCCCCCCCCCCCCCTCCCCCCCCCCCCCCCCTCCCCCCCCCCCCCCCCCCCCCCCCCCCCCCCCCCCCCCCCCCCCCCCCCCCCCCCCCCCCCCCCCCCCCCCCCCCCCCTCCCCCCCCCCCCCCCCCCCCCCCCCCCCCCCCCCCCCCCCCCCCCCCCCCCCCCCCCCCCCCCCCCCCCCCCCCCCCCCCCCTCCCCCCCCCCCCCCCCCCCCCCCCCCCCCCCCCCCCCCCCCCCCCCCCCGCCTCCCCCCCCCCCCCCCCCCCCCCCCCCCCCCCCCCCCCCCCCCCCCCCCCCCCCCCCCCCCCCCCCCCCCCCCCCCCCCCCCCCCCCCCCCCCCCCCCCCCCTCCCCCCCCCCCCCCCCCCCCCCCCCCCCCCCCCCCCCCCCCCCCCCCCCCCCCCCCCCCCCCCCCCCCCCCCCCCCCCCCCCCCCCCCCCCCCCCCCCCCCCCCCCCCCCCCCCCCCCCCCCCCCCCCCCCCCCCCCCCCCCTCCCCCCCCCCCCCCCCCCCCCCCCCCCCCCCCCCCCCCCCCCCCCCCCCCCCCCCCCCCCCCCCCCCCCCCCCCCTCCCCCCCCCCCCCCCCCCCCCCCCCCCCCCCCCCCCCCCCCCCCCCCCCCCCCCCCCCCCCCCCCCCCCCCCCCCCCCCCCCTCCCCCCCCCCCCCCCCCCCCCCCCCCCCCCCCCCCCCCCCCCCCCCCCCCCCCCCCCCCCCCTCCCCCCCCCCCCCCCCCTCCCCCCCCCCCCCCCCCCCCCCCCCCCCCCCCCCCCCCCCCCCTCCCCCCCCCCCCCCCCCCCCCCTCCCCCCCCCCCCCCCCCCCCCCCCCCCCCTCCCCCCCCCCCCCCCCCCCCCCCCCCTCCCCCCCCCCCCCCCCCCCCCCCCCCCCCCCCCCCCCCCCCCCCCCCCCCCCCCCCCCCCCCCCCCCCCCCCCCCCCCCCCCCCCCCCCCCCCCCCCCCCCCCCCCCCCCCCCCCCCCCCCCCCCCCCCTCCCCCCCCCCCCCCCCCCCCCCCCCCCCCCCCCCCCCCCCCCCCCCCCCCCTCCCCCTCCCCCCCCCACCCCTCCCCCCCCCCCCACCCCCCCCGCCCTTCCCCCCCCCCCCCCCCCTCTCTCCCTCCCCCCCCCCCCACCACCCCCCCCTCCCCCCCCTCCCCCCCTCCGGTACCTCGGAGTTTAAGAAGGAGCCTTTCATGGAGGACCTTGTCAAACGCCTTGCTGAAGTCTACAAAAACCACATCCAATCGTTTCCCAGCATCTAACGACCTCGCCCAGTTTTCCCTGGCAACAAGCAGGTTCGAGGTACATGAGCGTGCCCGCCGAAAGCCATGCTGGGCACAGGAGATGATGTTAAGGTTCTCGAAGTGAAGCTGCAGGGCGCGCTTGAGAATCCTTTCCATTAACTTGCACAGCACGGACGTTAGGCAGATAGGTCGATAGTTTGCAGCATCTTGACGACCCCTCCTTTGTATTTAGGTTTAACGGTCCCAAAATTCCAAGCAACCGGGAGTCGCCCAGCTTCCAGAGAGTAACGAAATATCTGACAGGCGGCAGCAGCAATGTAGTCCGACAGGGTCTTGAGGAACAGCGGGTGCAGTCCATCAGGACACTGCTAGGAGTTCGGAGCTAATTCACGAAGACCCTTGGCCACGTCAGCCACACTCATTTCTACGTGCTGCAACGAAGAGGGGTGGATTGGCGCAGTGTCATCGGGTAACGGCGTCTCGATCGAGTAAACAGATGAGTATTGCAGGGCCAGTAAACTGGCTTTCGTCGCGTCGTCGTCAAGTAAACCGCCCTGCTCTGCAGAAAACAGGGCAGGAATGCCACTGCCAGCTTTGGTACTTCTTTTCAAATAAGAGTAGAGTGCCTTCGGTGTCGTCCTGGATTGCACTGCCAAACTGCGTTCATACTGATGCCGTTTCTGACGTTTTTTCGTGATGCAGTGGTTTCTGATCAATTTGTACTCCGAATAGTCAAGCGCGCAGTGAGTAAGCTTGAATCGGTCCCATAATTTACGTCTTTTGGACATTAAACACCTCAATTCTCGGTCTATCCATGGAGGGCCTCTGGTAAACGTTCGCCTTTTGCAAACAGGAACAACCTGCTCAACAAGGGAAATAAGCTTGGAGTACAAAAGTTTCCACTCCTCATCTGGGTCCGAGGATAGAGGGATATTCCAGTCCATACCGCTAGCGGCCGCTTGCAGGCGGATTGGATCGGCACGCCAGAAATTCCTGCGGAAAGTATCTTGGTTGTGAAGAGTGAGGCGTCGATTCCAGAGGAATGAGATCGTACAGTGATCACTATTACCAATAGGCGGAAGAGTGGTAACGTCCGCGACATCTGATTGCGCCGGGGAAAGCACAAGATCGAGAATATGGGGGGTTTGTCCGACACATATACGGGTAGGCACAGTAACATGTTGAAGTAGGTTACACTCGAGAACGGTTTCCAAAAAGTCCACAGCGAAAACGTCTGAAGAAGTAGCACAGTGCAGCAACTCCCAGTCGACACTTGAGGCATTGAAGTCACCCAATAGTACACAGTCCTTTCCCCCACCATGCTTTTAATTGAATCCAGCAGCCGAGCTCCGGAACCCAATGGAGCTCTGTAGACAACCCCGACTATCAGGGATCTGCATCCATCATGAACCCGGCACCACAGGGCTTCGAAACCACCATCACCATCACAAGTAGCTTCAACTAGATGAGCCTTGAGGTCTGCATTCCAGTACAGGATCACACCGCCACCAGATCTCCCTCCTTTGCGGTCAGCTCGGCAGAGATGATAACCGGGGATCTGCACCACGGAGTCCAGGATATCTGCGGACAACCAGGTCTCGGTGAAAGCCATAATGTCAGGATGATTCTCTGAGGCAAAAGATTGAATTTCATCGAGTTTGTTTCGAATACTGCGCACATTAGCGGAAATTACGCGTAATCCGTGCTTCACCTCTAACGCCTGGGTATGACAAGAAGTGGTTTCCAGCGAATTTTGGTAGCTTTTCGGACTACGCGAAAATCCACAATATGTAAATCTGTCTCACCGTTGTCTCGACGGGATCTGAGTTCGTCAACCGCTTGTTTCATTCTCACTCGATCCTCAGGGGAAAGATCTCGCAATACATAAAACAATTCACCTTTAAGTCGCGGAGCTCGTCGAAGAATGCGACGGGCCTCGTCATCATTTTGACATATAATTTTAAGTGGGCGAACTGTTGAGGGGTCCTGCTGTTTCTTGCCGACGCGGAAAGCAGAAACGATGTTGATACCTAGTTTAGCCTCACTGAACAGTAGAGATCATCCTTTGTTGGAACTCTTGTTCGTCTACAATCCTTTCAGCTGGGTGGTATTGGTCGACTCGGCTGTATTCACGATGATAAGGCAGCGGTCGCGGGATGGCGATGTGGCATTCTCATGGATCTTCGGCTTCAGAACAGTGGGGCCGTCCTTAAGCAGTTTCTCCAGTTGACTGACTCTATCGAGAACCAAATTCAGCTGCGACTGAGATGATGACGATTTGGATTTTAGCCTTACTCCTGTCTTGCTTTTGCGTTCAACATTTCGTACGTTTTCCTTTACTACCTCTGCGTACGTCTTCAGCTTAGGCTCTTCGCTCTGGTCAACAACCGCCGGCGTCTCTGTAGATGTGGTGGAAGGTGCACGACTACGCTTACTCGTTGGGGTAGCTGCGCCAGAATCGCATGTGATTAGGCAAGTTGGAAGTGGGACAGCAGCGATGTTCATCTCGGCTTGAGCAGGAGAGGTGAGCGGACTGAGCGCAGGTAGTCCATCAAGGCATCGTCTGTTGCTTATCGTAACACGGCAGAGATCGCAAAAGAAGCCTAAGCCCGGAACGTTGGATCGCAGGAGAAATTCGTACAAATCATGGCCGACTCCACAGCAAGCTATGTGTGTCCATCCATCGCAGATGGTGCACTGCAAGGCTTTAGAGCGCGAAGTAACTCCTTTAAAACATGACAAGCATTTGGACGTCATAGCAGATTGAAGTCCAATGGATTACCGCATAATATCGAATCGCGGCCTCCACACAATGATCGGGAAGCGATGGAGTTGACAAAGGATTTCTCCTTCTGCTCTCTACAATCCTATGAACCCTATGAACCTATGAAGGTCAATACCCCACAAAATCCGACACCTTGTAAAGGGTGACGCTAATCGCAGACGGTACACACAAGGTCGTGTGTTGATAATGAAAAATATTAGGCTTTTAAATGCTTGAGTATGTTTGTTACTATGTGAAAGCCATTTTTATATGTTTAACGGTGAATTATAAATTGCTATCTGAAACATCTTGGGCTTTTGCCTATTGAATCAGAATCAATTTATTAGGAGAATAAGATAGGGATCTATGTGATCTCCATCATAAGTAAAGCAAAAATGACCCATGCCGAATATGGGTCTGTGTGAATGCACATCAATAGTCATTTAGTAATAAGCAAACAAAATACCGATATATAAGCACAAAGAAAGCATTATGTGTCTTGGTCTTTTAGGGTTGCTAGTGGAGCCGTGACATAA